GTGCTCTCAGCTCTGTCAGAGGCCCGCCTCTCACGGCGGGCAGAAGGAAGAGCTTTTCTGATGTGCTCCCCGTGAAGACAAAAAAAATGGCCGAAAAGAAAAATAAAAATAAAAAATGGCGGTGTACCTCTTTCCACGTTCCAGCAGATGATTCAGTCTCCCCACATGTATCTTTCCATGTTGTAGGGGAGGATTCAGTCTAAAAAGTAAACCAAAAGACAAAAAAGATGGAAATGTATCTTGCCATGTTCTAGGGGTCGATTCAGTCTTATTTTGCACAAGTCGGACCAAATCTTCTTCCAGAGACAAAGGAAAAAAAAGACTGAAAAGGGCAAACAGGATTCAAAGCGCCATCAGCGCTGTCAGAGGCCCGCCTCCCACGGCGGGCAGAAGGAAGAGCTCTGTGGCAACTCTCCAAACGTGAAGGCATGAGACCGAATCCTCCTATGGAACATGGAAAGATACATTTTCCGTTTTTTAGCAGTCCTGTAGTAGTGTAGAGAGACCCAACCGAGCTGGCCCTTTGTCTGCCCGCCTGCCTGCCGTGAGAGGCGGCGCTCTAAAAACACTCAAGGGCGTTATCTCACTCCTTTTGGCCGCCAAGTGGCGGGTACGACTTTGTTTTTTTTTTTCCTCTTTTTTTTTTCCTGCACTTGTCTCGTTTTCATTTGTTTTCTTTTTTTTTTAATGGCCTATACTGCACCTGTGCATTGTTTCCACACGCACAGTATAAACCAAGGGGACAGACTACATTCCATTTGTGATTTTCCTTGGGCCCAATGACTTCTTCCTCCATAGCACTACTGGGCCTTCTCCGAAGCCCAGAAAACCCGTAGCGTTAACGCTAAGGGGCCGCGGCCGATGTATGGGCCAAGTACTGGTGGTTTAATAGTAAAAAAAGTTAAAAAAACCTGAGTGAGGACGCCGCCCGGCTGGGCCTGCCTGGCCGGGCCGGGCCAGGGGGGCCCGCCCGGGTAAACCGGTTGGGCCAAAAAAACGCCCAGATTTTTTTTTTTTTTTTTTTTTGNGGTGCTGGGGTTGGGGGGGTGTCTGCATGTATGTTGCCTGCTGTGTGCTGAATGTATGTCATCTGATATGTACTGGGTTGGTGGGTCTGCATGTTTGTTGCCTGCTGCTCTGATGTCTGCTGCATGGATGTTATCGACCCTTTCATTCTGAAGAAGAACAACACTGACAAAAAATGAAGAGAAGAAGAAGAAGAAGACTGACAAGAAGAAGAAGAAGAAGACTGATAAGATGGAGAAGAAGAAGAAGACTTACAGACTGACGACTTGCAGGAAATCTTTGAGTTCTTCAGCAGCATAATCAGCTGAATATGGCCAATATTCGAACCTCTCTCTCTCTCTCTCTCTCTCTCACACACACACACACACACACACACACAACCGGGTGGCCACCCCGGCCAGGCCGCCCGGGACCTCCCCCGGGCCCCTGCCGGTCACCCGGGCGGCCCGGATCCCCACTCAGTAAAAAACTTAAAAAAAGAAAAAAACATATGAAACAAAATCAGAGTCACAAGGTCAGTAAGGCAAGGGTGGCCCCTATCTCCAGGCTTGTATGTGAGATGCATTGAAGCCTTACATGGGATATTGAGGGCGGATGAGGAATTGAAGGGAGTGGAGTTAGGAGGTAGGAAGGCGCCTAATATCATCTCCATTTACAGATAACACGGGCAATAATCCTGCCGACAACAGCCTGTCCAATCCACAGGCGAAAGACATTGCCAGGTGGGGAGTTTGGCTGGGGCGGAACATCTGTTAGAAGATAATGGAGGTCTCCTAAAATGAGCTCAACGAGAACGGAAATCTCGTGTGGAGCGAAGGGGCAAAATCTCATTTGATTTTGATTTCCAGTACGAGTGTAAACTGTGAGAGAAAAACAAGCTCAACATCTTGAAAACTTGAAACGTCCGTTGAAATTGGAACGATACAGAGAAGCTAAGTATGGCAAAAAAAAAGGAAAAACATGAAAAGGGATATTGACACCTGCAGATAGTCAGGAGCAACAGGTAAATTACCAGTGTTGGGCCGGCAACCAACCGGTTGGATCGGCCCGGATGCAACCGGGCGGGATCGACCCAGGTCGTCCAACCGAATTCCGTTTGGGCTTAAAACCAGTCCAATTTTTTTTATTAATATATATATTTTTTGATAGCAGGGCTTGATTGTGCTCGCAGAGAACAGTCAGAATCCGCATAGAAAATCGTGAACTCTAAACTTTTTCCCGGTGGTAGTGGGAGGGGGGGAGGTAAGGTGGGGGTGGGGTGTTAGTGGTGGTGTTACAGCAACCATGGGCTTCGACAGACATGGATAACAGCATACCTGGCCATCAGCAAACGGAGGAGAAGAAGAAAATTAGGAGGAGAAGAAGAAGAGGGACAGAGGGGAAGGAGAAGAGAAGACATGGAGGAGGAGAAGAGGAGGAAAAAAAAGAAGAGGAAGAGGAGGAAAAGAGGAGGAGAAGAAGAGTATGAGGCGGAGGAGGGGGAGGGGGAGAAGAAGAGTGGGAGGTGGAGGAGGGGGAGGGGGAGGGGTTTAATCCTTTGCGTCATGATGCCGGGCACGGGGGGGGGGGGAGAAGGCGCAGGTTAGGGGTTCTGTTGATGGCCGGGGTTGACTTTTCCCCTACCAAAAAAAAAAAAAAGAACACTGAAGGGGAGTGGAGACGACTAAAGGATAACAAAGGACAGAAGGAAGAGGAGGAGGAGGGGGAGGAGATCACGATGATGGTGATGAATAGGACAGGAGGAAGTTGTGGAGGAGAAGGAGGAGGAGGAGGAGGAGGAGGTGAAGAAGAAGAAGAAGAAGAAGAAGAAGAAGAAGAAGAAGATGAGGAGGAGGAGGAGGAGGAGGAGGAGGAGGGGATGATGATGATAATGATCAATAGGAGAGGAGGAAGAATTGGGAGGATGATTAGGGGGAGGAGGAGAAGATGACTATGATGATGATGAATAGGAGAGGAGGAAGTAGCAGCGGAGGAGGAGAAGAAGAAGAAGACGAGAGGAGCCTCGTCTCTCTCTCTCTCTCTCTCTCTCTCTCTCTCTCTCTCTCTCTCTCTCACATATGAAGTCGCGATGGTGGGCTCGCGCTGTGGAAAGCAGCAGGGGGCAACTCAACAACGACGATGGCGAGATTGCGCGACGCGTCTCCGATGGACTAATGGCATGGCGGGGTCGCACAGGGCTGGGCGGAAGACTTCCATCAAAGTTTGAAGCAGGGGGGCGGGGCACAGCAGTCTGGCACGCCGAAGTCCAGCGCCTGCTCCCATTTGAATCGTGGTCGATCTTGGCCACCCATCAACAAAGATCATCAGCCAAGATTGGCCGCTTTTTCTTTTCCCCATTGATCGGCCTACCGGTCCCGAAGAAAAACTTAGCCCGATAAAAAAAAGTTTCCTGCCCCCAGCAGAAATGTGCTGGGGTGTTACATACTTCAATAAGTATGGGCAGAACCAAAGATCAACCAATGTAGGATGAGCATATATGCAGCGGAAGTCTGATAAACGGGCTGACTCACATAGACTGACTCACACAGACTGATTCAAGAATCACTCCACACACATACAATTGTGAGATGGTGGGGTCTGGGTCAAGCATAGACGATGCCCAGACCTCGTACACGCATACACAGATGAGAGGTGGGAGGAGAGACGAAGGAGGTCGGGGAGGTAGACAGCACCGAAGGTCGCCGAGATAGAATCTGATAGGTTACCGATATGGTAGTCCAACATGTCATCCAACAAGATCAAAATGTTGAGGACAATAGGTCACCAATGTCCGAGATACAGAGTCCAAATATAACCGGTGTCCGAACTGTGGTGCAGCCGAGTATCAACCCCAACAATCTCCAAGTCTCCAATCCGGTAAGTACCACAGTCTCATACCACCGAAGTCCAATACTGATCTCTGTCCAACTAGTACAAGTCTCCAATCTGAAGAAGAAGAAGAAGAAGAAGAAGAAGAAGAAGGAGCCGAGGAGGAGAGAGAGAGAGAGAGAGGGGACTGGCGAGGGGAGGGGGGAGAGAGGCCTCCAACCCCGATACCTCAGGCGGCTATGGCCGCCGGCACACCCAGTCGCCGCTGCTGCTGCTCGCTCACTGCTGTTGCGCTAATGCTGCACTGTTGCTCCTCGCTGCTCCTGCGCTAAACTTAGCGCCAACGCTGTCTCGCGCTGTACCATACCGTACCGGTAGAATGCCGGTAGGTCGATGCCTCGAAGTGAGGCCGGACCGGTTCTATATACCGGTGGGGCAGAGGCCGGCCTCAATGCTGCGAGGCCTGGCCGTGCTCTGAACCGTCCAGATGGACGGTTCAGCCCCAACCGGCGGGCGGCAGCCTCAAGAGCGCCGCCAGGCCCAAACGGTAATGTCGTTTGGGCCTGCCCGTCGGGTTTGGTCCAAGGTGAGGCCTTTATAGCCTGTAGTACCCCCAAGGTCGGGCCTTTAGGCCCTGATGTGTCCCTCTAGCCCTAAGTCGGGTCTGGTAGGACCCGTGTGGCGTCGAAGATGTAACACACTCCCCCTCTTAAAAGACCGAGCTACCTGCGAGAGCGAAGTTGTCTGTCCGATACCGGGGTGGGTCGGGCGGGACGAGCTGCGTCCTTAGCAAGGCGTCGCTTCTCATAGTCGGCGAAGATAAGGGGTGCAGAAGTCTGCAAATCTGTGCTGGAGATCCACCGAGTGTCATCAGGCGCACATTGCTTGAATGTGACTTTGTACTGCCTTGGCTTGTTGCCATACTTGCGGTGCGTGACGACTCGGTCCACTTCCTGATGTCCGTCCATGGAGGGCGGATCCTGTGATCGACGTCCGGGAAACTCGTCATTTGAAGGTGGCGTGTAGATGGCCAGCTTCGATGCGTGGAAGACCCGATGCACTGTCAGGTGCGGTGGAATGTTGATCACGAAGGAAGGACCTGCGGGATTGTCTCCAACGGCAGAAGTGACTTCCCATGGTCCGAACCATTTCGGAAGGAGTTTGCGCGAAACGTCCTGCTCGAGCGCAAATTCCTCGAAGAGGACCCAAACAAGGTCTCCCTCGCGGAAAGGACATGGAAGTCAACGTCGGTTAGCTTGCTGCTGCATGCGGAGCTGAGCCTTTTGCATATTTGTGCGGGCTTTGATCAGCAAGTCCCGGTACTTCCGGACGGAAGCGGGAGAGCAAGGGGCGTCTATGTCGGCAGCCTCTGGCAAAAGGAGATCAGCGAAGATCCGTGCTTTCTCTCCACCATGATGTAACTCGAATGGTGTGACACAGATCGCCGGGTGCACCGAAGTGTTATAGGCGAACTCGATGTCGGGAAGCCGGTCAACCCAATCTTTCTGGTCGGGACGGATGAGCGTACGCAACATCATCTGAGCGGTCTGGTGCGCTCGTTCCGTCTGACCATCCGTCTGCGGGTGCCGAGCCGAGCTCGGTTTCATTGTCGTACCAGACTCGGCCATGAGGGAAGTCCAAAAGGCTGACATGAAACGAGTATCTCGGTCGCTCACTATGTCTTCCGGAACACCTTGGTTGGTAATCCAACCGGTGTGCAAGAGCCGTGCGAGCTCAGGCGCTGCAGCATGATACTTGCAAGGAAGGAAGCGAGCATACTTGCTCAAACGGTCAACGACCGTGAGAATACCGTCATGGCCGTGGCGATCGCGAGGAAACGGGTTTGTCACGTCCATAGCAATGGAGAGGCATGGTGCCCGAGGGATCGGCAACGGTTTCAGTTCGCCGAAGGGGACTCGAGATCGACCCTTGTTWCGGTGGCAAACTGCACATGACTCAATATGCCTCGTGACGTCATGAAGGACGTCGGGCCAGTGAAAACGCTGGCGGAGGCGTGCTAGTGTGCGGTTCACACCAAGGTGTGCCGAAAGTCGTGCATCGTGGAATTCGCCGAGAAGACGAGTCCGTAAGATGCGATCTTGGGGCACAACTAACAAGTCCTTTCCTCTCGTGTGAAGGAGAAGGAACCCGTTGGAAATCCGATAGTGGCTAGCCGGCGGGTGATCCGATGAAAGCTCCGTGAAAGCTTAGTGTAAGTCGGATCGGACTTGTAGCCTTTGACGAAATGGGGCTGCAGATCGTCATCGAGGTCGAATGCCGTGGTCACAATGGCACAAAAGTCGGGCCGTCGTGAGAGGGCGTCCGCAGCTCGATTGGCGGGGCCGGGGATGTGGCACGGGKCAAAATCGAACTGGTCGATGTAATACATCCATCGACCGATCGTGCTAGTGACCGTGTCTTGCGTTTTATAMAAGGTCAAAGGATTGTTGTCCGTATTCCATTTAAAACGCCGACGGCCGAGAAGAAAGTGGCGCCACCATTTGAGAACGGTGACGAACGCGAGTAGCTCTTTCTTCCTAGCGTCGTCGGGAGTGTTGACGAGAGGCACATTCTGGGAGAAATACTCAACCGGATGCCAACCGTCCTCGTGACACTGTTCCAACACCGCACCAATACCGTATCCCGAAGCGTCCGTAGTCRCTTGGGTGGGTAGGGTGGGGTCGTATATATGGAGGGCAGGTGCGGCTTGCATTGCTGCCTTCAACGTAGTGAACGCGCCACGGGCTGCGTCGTCGAACTCAAAGGGCACCTTCGGGGACTGAAGTCTCGACAAAGGAGCGGCCACTTTCGAGTATGACTCGACGAATCRCTGATAATATCCAGCCAAACCCATGAAAGAGCGTACATCCGTCGTGCAACGGGGTTCCGGCCAATCCACGATGGCTTGGATCTTGTCCGCTAAGGGATGAATGCCTTTCAGCGTGACAAAATGACCCAAGTACTCAAGCTCTTGCTTGGCGAATTCGCACTTGTCGAGATTCGCTTTGTACTTGGCTAGTTGCAAACGATTCAGAACAACGCGAAGGTGTACGATGTGCTCGTCCAACGTCCTACTATAAACCAAGATGTCATCRAGGTAGATGAGGACGCTGCGATCGAGCAAGTCGCGAAACTCCGTTGTCATCGCTGCCTGAAAAGTTGCGGGGGCATTGGTGAGGCCAAAGGGCATGACAACCCACTCGAAATGCCCGTACCGCGTCTTGAACGCGGTCTTGTACCGGTCTTG